CACCCAGTAACCACCTACATCCACCCTCCCACACCCAGTAACCACCTACATCCACCCTCCCACCCTGCAACACTCAGTAACCACCTACATCCACCCTCCCACCCTGCAACACTCAGTAACCACCTACATCCACCCTCCCACCCTGCAACACTCAGTAACCACCTACATCCACCCTCCCACCCTGCAACACTCAGTAACCACCTACATCCACCCTCCCACACCCAGTAACCACCTACATCCACCCTCCCACCCTGCAACACTCAGTAACCACCTACATCCACCCTCCCACCCTGCAACACTCAGTAACCACCTACATCCACCCTCCCACCCTGCAACACTCAGTAACCACCTACATCCACCCTCCCACCCTGCAACACTCAGTAACCACCTACATCCACCCTCCCACCCTGCAACACTCAGTAACCACCTACATCCACCCTCCCACACCCAGTAACCACCTACATCCACCCTCCCACCCTGCAACACTCAGTAACCACCTACATCCACCCTCCCACCCTGCAACACTCAGTAACCACCTACATCCACCCTCCCACCCTGCAACACTCAGTAACCACCTACATCCACCCTCCCACCCTGCAACACTCAGTAACCACCTACATCCACCCTCCCACCCTGCAACACTCAGTAACCACCTACATCCACCCTCCCACCCTGCAACACTCAGTAACCACCTACATCCACCCTCCCACCCTGCAACACTCAGTAACCACCTACATCCACCCTCCCACACCCAGTAACCACCTACATCCACCCTCCCACCCTGCAACACTCAGTAACCACCTACATCCACCCTCCCACCCTGCAACACTCAGTAACCACCTACATCCACCCTCCCACACCCAGTAACCACCTACATCCACCCTCCCACCCTGCAACACTCAGTAACCACCTACATCCACCCTCCCACACCCAGTAACCACCTACATCCACCCTCCCACCCTGCAACACTCAGTAACCACCTACATCCACCCTCCCACCCTGCAACACTCAGTAACCACCTACATCCACCCTCCCACACCCAGTAACCACCTACATCCACCCTCCCACCCTGCAACACTCAGTAACCACCTACATCCACCCTCCCACCCTGCAACACTCAGTAACCACCTACATCCACCCTCCCACCCTGCAACACTCAGTAACCACCTACATCCACCCTCCCACACCCAGTAACCACCTACATCCACCCTCCCACCCTGCAACACTCAGTAACCACCTACATCCACCCTCCCACCCTGCAACACTCAGTAACCACCTACATCCACCCTCCCACCCTGCAACACTCAGTAACCACCTACATCCACCCTCCCACCCTGCAACACTCAGTAACCACCTACATCCACCCTCCCACCCTGCAACACTCAGTAACCACCTACATCCACCCTCCCACCCTGCAACACTCAGTAACCACCTACATCCACCCTCCCACACCCAGTAACCACCTACATCCATCCTCCCACCCTGCAACACTCAGTAACCACCTACATCCACCCTCCCACCCTGCAACACTCAGTAACCACCTACATCCACCCTCCCACCCTGCAACACTCAGTAACCACCTACATCCACCCTCCCACCCTGCAACACTCAGTAACCACCTACATCCACCCTCCCACACCCAGTAACCACCTACATCCACCCTCCCACACCCAGTAACCACCTACATCCACCCTCCCTCCCTGCAACACCCTGTAACCACCTACATCCACCCTCCCACACCCAGTAACCACCTACATCCACCCTCCCACACCCAGTAACCACCTACATCCACCCTCCCACCCTGCAACACTCAGTAACCACCTACATCCACCCTCCCACCCTGCAACACTCAGTAACCACCTACATCCACCCTCCCACCCTGCAACACTCAGTAACCACCTACATCCACCCTCCCACACTCAGTAACCACCTACATCCACCCTCCCACACCCAGTAACCACCTACATCCACCCTCCCACCCTGCAACACTCAGTAACCACCTACATCCACCCTCCCACACTCAGTAACCACCTACATCCACCCTCCCACACTCAGTAACCACCTACATCCACCCTCCCACACTCAGTAACCACCTACATCCACCCTCCCACACTCAGTAACCACCTACATCCACCCTCCCACACTCAGTAACCACCTACATCCACCCTCCCACACCCAGTAACCACCTACATCCACCCTCCCACACTCAGTAACCACCTACATCCACCCTCCCACACTCAGTAACCACCTACATCCACCCTCCCACACTCAGTAACCACCTACATCCACCCTCCCACCCAGTAACCACCTACATCCACCCTCCCACCCTGCAACACCCAGTAACCACCTACATCCACCCTCCCTCCCTGCAACACTCAGTAACCACCTACATCCACCCTCCCACACTTAGTAACCACCTACATCCACCCTCCCACCCTGCAACACTCAGTAACCACCTACATCCACCCTCCCACACTCAGTAACCACCTACATCCACCCTCCCACACTTAGTAACCACCTACATCCACCCTCCCATCCAGTAACCACCTACATCCACCCTCCCACCCTGCAACACCCAGTAACCACCTACATCCACCCTCCCACCCTGCAACACTCAGTAACCACCTACATCCACCCTCCCACACCCAGTAACCACCTACATCCACCCTCCCACCCTGCAACACTCAGTAAGCACCTACATCCACCCTCCCACACCCAGTAACCACCTACATCCACCCTCCCTCCCTGCAACACTCAGTAACCACCTACATCCACCCTCCCACACTTAGTAACCACCTACATCCACCCTCCCACCCTGCAACACCCAGTAACCACCTACATCCACCCTCCCACACCCAGTAACCACCTACATCCACCCTCCCTCCCTGCAACACTCAGTAACCACCTACATCCACCCTCCCACACTTAGTAACCACCTACATCCACCCTCCCACCCTGCAACACCCAGTAACCACCTACATCCACCCTCCCACACTTAGTAACCACCTACATCCACCCTCCCACCCTGCAACACCCAGTAACCACCTACATCCACCCTCCCACCTGCAACACCCAGTAACCACCTACATCCACCCTCCCACACTTAGTAACCACCTACATCCACCCTCCCTCCCTGCAACACTCAGTAACCACCTACATCCACCCTCCCACACTTAGTAACCACCTACATCCACCCTCCCACCCTGCAACACCCAGTAACCACCTACATCCACCCTCCCACACTTAGTAACCACCTACATCCACCCTCCCACCCTGCAACACCCAGTAACCACCTACATCCACCCTCCCACCTGCAACACCCAGTAACCACCTACATCCACCCTCCCACACTTAGTAACCACCTACATCCACCCTCCCTCCCTGCAACACTCAGTAACCACCTACATCCACCCTCCCACACTTAGTAACCACCTACATCCACCCTCCCACCCTGCAACACCCAGTAACCACCTACATCCACCCTCCCACCTGTAACACCCAGTAACCACCTACATCCACCCTCCCACACTTAGTAACCACCTACATCCACCCTCCCACACTTAGTTACCACCTACATCCACCCTCCCACCCTGCAACACCCAGTAACCACCTACATCCACCCTCCCACACTTAGTTACCACCTACATCCACCCTCCCACCCTGCAACACCCAGTAACCACCTACATCCACCCTCCCACACTTAGTTACCACCTACATCCACCCTCCCACCCTGCAACACCCAGTAACCACCTACATCCACCCTCCCACACTTAGTTACCACCTACATCCACCCTCCCACCCTGCAACACCCTGTAACCACCTACATCCACCCTCCCACCTGTAACACCCAGTAACCACCTACATCCACCCTCCCATCCAGTAACCACCTACATCCACCCTTCCACCTGTAACACCCAGTAACCACCTACATCCACCCTCCCACCCAGTAACCACCTACATCCACCCTCCCACCTGCAACACCCAGTAACCACCTACATCCACCCTCCCACCTGTAACACCCAGTAACCACCTACATCCACCCTCCCACCCAGTAACCACCTACATCCACCCTCCCACCTGCAACACCCAGTAACCACCTACATCCACCCTCCCACACTTGGTAACCACCTACATCCACCCTCCCACCCTGCAACACCCTGTAACCACCTACATCCACCCTCCCACCTGTAACACCCAGTAACCACCTACATCCACCCTCCCACCCAGTAACCACCTACATCCACCCTCCCACCTGCAACACCCAGTAACCACCTACATCCACCCTCCCACCTGCAACACCCAGTAACCACCTACATCCACCCTTCCACCTGTAACACCCAGTAACCACCTACATCCACCCTCCCACCCAGTAACCACCTACATCCACCCTCCCACCCTGCAACACCCAGTAACCACCTACATCCACCCTCCCACCTGCAACACCCAGTAACCACCTACATCCACCCTTCCACCTGTAACACCCAGTAACCACCTACATCCACCCTCCCACCCAGTAACCACCTACATCCACCCTCCCACCCAGTAACCACCTACATCCACCCTCCCACACTTGGTAACCACCTACATCCACCCTCCCACCCTGCAACACCCAGTAACCACCTACATCCACCCTCCCACACTTGGTAACCACCTACATCCACCCTCCCACACTTAGTAACCACCTACATCCACCCTCCCACCCTGCAACACCCAGTTACCACCTACATCCACCCTCCCACCCTCCCACACCCAGTAACCACCTACATCCACCCTCCCACCCTCCCACACCCAGTAACCACCTGCTTCAACCACCACCAGTTAAATCCCAGCCCTGCTGCTGGTAGCTGGAGAGTGTGAATAGTCTATAGCAGTCTTGACACAAATACACACTGATTTGATACTCTTCTAATAGCCTCAAGAGCTTCTCATCTCACACACTAACATCACAACATAGTCACCACATCCCTCTCATCACAGAGGTAGACCCAAACTGTCACTCAATCTCAACACAGAGAGGCATTCCCACACAAATGTGTAGGCAGACTGACCACTGAAACTGTCAATCAATAATGACTGACAGATCAGACTGCACGTTTCTACAAAGTGGGAGGAGTCAAGCACCTGTCAGTCATGGTGTATTGGTGCAATCTCAGGATCCTCCTACACAGTGGGAGGAGTCTAGGCTGTCCATCAAGCAAATTCCTCAGGTGTTGCTGGTGCGGTGTGTGTGCAGTTGGGCCTGGGATGCTGGCTCACGGACCCTTGGAGCTATCTGTACACACTGGCTTCACATTTACTGGAATATTTCAATATTCTCAACAGGTAAGCTCCAAAACTTTTTTCACTTTCATATAAAAAAACGTTCAATATTTTTTTTAAAATGTATATCAAAGCACTTTAGAACTTTACTATGAGAGTTTAACATTTTGCCTAATAGTTATTTCCACAACAGTTTTCATCACGAATATCAAAAAGGCAAACAATGACATATTTTCGATGGTGCCATTATCTGTACTAAACGCCACCATGTCAGTGTGAAAATAATGTACATCTATTCAAATACATAACAAATAAAATATAACGACATAATGTCAACCTAATAATGCAGAAATATGCCACATTTATCCTATAGTACTGAATTCTCGCATCATTTCAATCAATGAATGCTTTCAAAAAGCCTGATGCTGTCTCCCCATAGCACACTGTTGAATGTTCACAATCTACACTTGCACATCACAGAGGCTGTATTACTGATGCATCATGCATAGGATGATCACATAGTTATAGGATGGTTATGCATATATCCAGTGCATGCTCCATGTCCCATATTGATGGCATCAATGTCAACTGTCCGACATTTCATTCATCAGTAAAGAACAAGGTATTTAATGGATGACAACTTTTTTATTCTTTTAAAAAACCCATTAAAACAGTTTATTTCATTCATTGACAATATTGTACTGGAAGAACAAAACTATTCTGGGAATCGACATGAAACAGATCATGGTGTACAGCTATAGTTATTGTAAATATGTTCGCTAACTGCTTAAATATGAAACCATAATTTGGAAAGTTGTTTTACTTGTTAAGCAATATCATAATTCTAAGTTTACATATATGCTCTAGATCTCGAGGTATTACATGCCTTGCTACATATACCATGATAAATTATCATATATCAAAATATCAATGAATTTTTGAATTAAAAACAAATCAATGTCTAAATAGTTAGGATAAATTCTTAATTTATTATTTAGCAACAATGAATAATTGTGTAGGTTTTTTATGGAAATTCTCCTGTGGATGTTTGAAGCATTATTTCAGCTCTCACAAGGGATTGCAACATACATCATACTGTCGTGTCTAACCAAGCCGACATAGTTTGGAAGAGACACAATGGAGTCCCTTAAATATAGTTTTCTAAAAGGTTAAATAAACATAATTCCATTTGGGAACCTCAAGTATTAAGAAACCGTCAAGTTGTCTCGTAATTTCAGGAGCTGTGTAAGTCAGGTCTGGTACAGCTAGGTAGGAAGGAGAGTGGAATGTGGTGAATGTCTTATTGAATATTATGCTCTAAGTCTTTAAGAGAGACTAGGTGGGGAATTAACAGGCCACTTCATACCAATATATAGACTTAGATTTATGATATTGCCAAACAAGAAAACAACTTTCTAAATTATGGTTTCATGATAAAACTGCATTCTAATATATCACGCATGCATGCACCTACACTTAAGGTACAAATTCAGTGCAGTATAAAGGCCTATGATAGTGATCTACTGTGATCTCATGAAACAAGTGTAGAACAGGACATTTCAATGATAGCCCATAATGATGGACTATGCTGATTAAAAGAAATCTTTTGGTCAAATGATAATACATCATATTCTTAACACATGTATAACATATCACTGTGCCATAGCTGTGTTATCACATTAGCCCCAGGTGAGAAAAACATTATCACCACCTGTATTGTACAATATTCCCTTGTATAATGCCCTGAAGTGCCCATTTAACATCTGTCCAGCTTGAATTTTATTTTGTATATTTAAAAATCATCACAACATGAAGTTTAATGAAAACTGACATACGATGTAGATCACTAGATTTAACACTAATTAAATACTCAAAGCAAAATTAATAATTGTCACTGTCATTGCAGTGACAAACTGTGACACTAGGACATCATGTCTACAAAACAACTTAGGACATTGCAGTGACAACTGTAACTCTAGGACATCATGTCTACAGAAAAACTCTTAAGACATTACATTGACCCATATTCCATCATAAGAGTACCAAACATATTCCACACCATAACATAAGACCATATTCCACCTAAAGAGTACCACCCATATTCCACCACACAGAATAACAACTGTATTACACCATATAGAATAACATCATATTCCACCATATAGAATAAGACCCATATTCCACCATATAGAATAATACCATATTCCACCATATAGAATAACACCCATATTCCACTATATAGAGTATAGCCCATGTTCCGCCATGCAGTGACCTACCCACTTATCACATACACTGTAACTCCATATTAGTTGACCCTTACAACAAACATGGAACCCCATTCTGACACGGAACACAGAGGGTATCAGGACCCTAGCTTAGCAACTTCTTTCTCTATTTTATTAAATATTTATTATCAAAGTGACTAAAAAAAAAGATTTTTCTATTTAGTGGGACAGCGTTAGTGTTAGATATGTTACAGAAACAGCCTTGAAGTGTCAAACATAATCCATTATTTGCGCTCCACATGTGGTCATGCAACACATGGTGTAAGCAGCTGACATAAGGAATTCTCAGTAACAATACAAACATATATACTACTCAAAAACAGTTAAGGACCACATAATTCTTCATATTACTATAGTTAATCCAGAGCTCCAGATAAGCTTTTGGTGTTGTGGGTATTTTACCCATGCATTTTAAAATCATTGGGTATCAGTAATTCTATCTGCGTATTCAAATTTCTGTTACCCACTAGTTTTTACACATGTGGGTATTTAAGTTAAATATTTAAAACACTATTCATCTAGTCCCTGCAAACTTGTGTCGTGTGGGTTCGAGAGCCTTATAGGACTCAAAAATACCACGATACTTCCACAAGAAAGTGTGATGGCAAATGATCATGATGTAACTGTCATCGTGGAGTTTGGCAAGGTTGACGGATATCCGTTTATAATTTCAAAATAAGTTGCTGATTTGCTAATCGAATACACAGGGTTACTTCACAATATTTTGATGATACGCACAAGTTTTATTTTTGGAGCGAATCTGTAATGTTCGTTGCGTATTTGATACGCTTGGATTTTAATTTACTGCGTATTTCTGCATTTTTTATGCGTATTTTACGCAGATACGCAGCTTATCTGGAGCTCTGTTAATCTATCTTGCCATGACGTGATATTACTATAGCAATATAAAAGAATCAGGTGGTCTTTAACATTTTTCAATAGTATATTATAATAAATTTTACAATAAATTGTATTTTGAAATCCTTATCTTATCTCACACTATGCATTTCTTCCTTCTTCTTTCGATCCTGTGTGAAAACATGCTTTAACAAGTTTCAAGCTTCTAAGAAACAATTCACCTTAACACATCCAAGAATCACCATGGAGGTCCAAGATGGCCATGACCTTGTCTTCACAACCTATCCATGAATAAAGACCACTTCAGAAGTATTTGCGTGGGGGATCGAAGTGGTAATGGACTCAGTTGCCAAGAGGACAACAGATATCAAAGGAAGTGTCTGCTGAACATAAGTATCTAGATGAGCCAGATCCCAGTCCTCCACCGTGGAGGAAGTCATCACCTGCTTGTGACCATCAAGTTCGGGAGAACAAACAGTCTTAGACGTTCCATGTGTGCTGAACTCGTCCACAAGAAAGCAAGCGGTCTGTAGCTGATCGCGTAATCGTCTGAAAGACGCAAAAGCCTGGTCGAGGTTAGTCGCAGTATCTGTCAAGACAGGCCTGGGAGGTAGAATGATGTTCGAGGAACTGGCAGAGGGAATGACAAGTACACCAAAGTACTGCATTGGAGCTGTAGTTTATCCGCGATCCAATGAAGAACCAGCAAAGGATCGACGTTCTCAAACTCCCTGAAGAAGAGGTAGGAGAGGGTTGATGATTCACATCGATACCAGCTGATGCATGATCAACCTCCATTGGAGGCACAGGAACAACTGAACAAAGAGAATGGTCTGGGTGGGAGTCAGCGCAGAAGAGGTACCACCAGTAGTCAGGAACAATCCTGGAGGGCAGAGGTCACTGCTGCAGGAACGATTCCAGGTTTGGCACCGGATCGTTAGCCTGGTCTCAACGGTCCCATGAGATAGGTAGCGGCTGCGCGGCTGTAGGGTTCCGAGGGAGCATCACAGGAGGGGTTGGCACAGACAAGGTTAGAAGAACCAGAACCGGAAGTGGAGATGACAATCAAGAAAGGGTCGGAGAATGGTCATCCACACAAGTGACCGACGGAAACAAACAATCAACGAGAAGAAGAGGAACGTCAATGCTCTACACAGTGATGGGGACCAGAGGTTAAGGGGGTCAATCAGAGGCATAGTCGAGGCAGGTTCAGATGAAATGATGGAAGAAAACACCATGAGAACGTCCATGGTAACTGGCAGTCCCAAGGTAGACTCGGACCCGGACACTTTAGGGACGGCCTGTTGATCCGGTACATTGTAAATACATGCTGAACGACTCTTCCGTCAGATGTTCACACTTTGAACAGCGCTTGTCAAGACTGCATCGGCCATGGCAGTCACAACATAATTCGTGAGGGTCAGAGATGGAAAAGTTACGTCTACACTGCCAACAGGCCGGGCAAATGGAAGAGTCCCTGCTTATCATCCCTCAGAATGGAACCTATATCTACATGATGTCGGCAAAATAACAACTATGTTCTCCAAAAGACTGAGTGCACGTCTCCACTGAACGGTAATGAAAAAGAGAATGATGTTGCAGGAGTATTCACGTGATCAGGTCGTGTAGGTCGCAATGTACAGGATTATAGTGAATGACCCATTTATCTGAGTGGTGACAATGGTGATGAGTTCAGGTGAATTGTTTTTAAGAAGCTGGAAACTTTATTTCCACATAGGATCCAAAAAGAAGGAAGATAATAATTTTTTCAGACACACACTCAGGACTTATTCATAAGAATATTCAAGCAGCTTGTGGATTGCAAATGATTTTAATGGTAATGAACTTTGAAATTAGATTTTTCCACAGGTAGAGTGAGTGAGTGAGTGAGTGAGTGAGTGAGTGAGTGAGTGAGTTAGGTTGAGTTTAATGCTGCTTTAACAGTATTCCAGTTACATCACAGCATGTTAGCTCACTGTGGGAGGTAAGCCCGAAGTGATGCAGGCCTCAGACATTTACCACTTCGGTGAAACCCACGAGCATGGGTATGGTGGTGGCAAACCTAGAAACATAATCAAGGCAAACCGGGATTCAAACCCACGATCATAGGTTCCTGAAATGCTTAAGGGAAGTAACTCTAAACAATGAATTGCCTTCCCACCCGTGCCTCCCACCAGATGTAGGAGCAACATTAAAAATTAAAAGTCATCAGGGTTGATTTGAATTTCTTGTACAGAAATCTTTTCATTAAAAAGTCACAAAAAAGACTTTTTCAATAAAACAGATTTCAAAATAGCCTTTTTCTTATTCAAATGAAATGTACGATATGTTGTCCATGAGACCAGAAATAACAAGGTCTGGCCTAATGGTTTTCAAAAGGCATGAATTATTTCATGGAGCTCTGTTATTATGGAGCTTAGGGAACAATGGTATTTAAGCTGACTGGCAGTAAGTGTAAGTTCAACATACAAACATTCTTGTGTAAATCAAGAGAGGGATAAATTCTCTCAAGCAGGCAGAACAGTGGGAATGCTGTGTGATATGTAATATACATATTACACGTCCAGGTGTGTGGTAACAGAAGTCTGGCACGTCTCTAGCTCTCTGGTCTGCTTGCACTGTGGAGGGACGTATACCATGGCTGAGTAAGTGGATGCTAAAACTGTTACCCGATTGTTCAGACACCTTCATGATTGATGTCTAGTTTGAAAATTATCCAAAATAATAATCAATTTAATGGTAATATTGTCATGCTGTGAAGAATAATGTTATGGTCATATGGCTACATTGTAAACGAATAGATTAGTGGTAATATAGTTATGCTGTAAATTTTTGGGTGTAAATATGGATGGTTGAGAAGGTTTTTTAAAACTACTATTTATTTGTTTGTTATTGATATGTAAATTTTTCAAAATAAAAAAATATTTTTTGACCATGACAATTAATATCCTTAAAATTGTAATGATATGTAAAAATAAAAGAAATCCTAAAACAAGTACTTGGTAGGCATCAAAAGGGAATTACGAGTAAGTTTAAAGAATAAGGGAAGTACAAGTAAGTTTAAAGAACATAGGGAAGTACGAGTAAGTTTAAAGAATAAGCTTAAGTGGGAATCATGAGATATATGGTACAATTGGCACAAAACTTTGTATGGGACATAACAGTGGATTAAAGGAGGGAAAATTAATATTTACATTTGTTTTAGTTCACCAGATCTCAAGGTTGTGAAGAATATTTCACAGTCAAATGTCATAAACCAAAATGTTGGTGAACAATGTTTAGTTTCCATTTAAAATGTTCCTTACTCTTATCAACAATCTTTATGTAAAAAAATACATATAAATCATCATGATTAAAAAATAGATCTGAACTCAACACCTGGGAATATGAATATTTGCAGCCTCATCCTAGTTCACAAAAAGATCATAGTTTATCAGAGAGTTTGCATAAATGTGCATTTGGTTCAGTGCCGACAAGTTTCATGTATGACCAGGCTCGACATCCATCTGTTGCATGAAGATGCTTGACTGATGCAGCTGTGGGTGGAAGATGCCTCCACTGCTAATCACTACTCCCTGACATCACAAATCAAAATCTATGGGGTGATCAGCATTGTCTCTGTGATGGCGCCTCACAGAATGAGAGGCCCACTTTGATATGCTATTCAGTGAATCATATCTGATTGAGACATTTATGTGTAACTATTCCTCCAGTGGTTTATCTCAAAACAGGCATATGTAGACAATCACTTGTTACAGGGGACCTGGTCTGTCTGGAATCAACACAGGGAGACAAGCATGAGATACTGGGGATTTATTCTGAATCCCAACAGGGAGACAAGCATGGGATACCGGGAACCTATTCTGAGTCCCAACAGGGAGACAAGCATGGGATACTGGGGATTTATTCTGAATCCCAACAGGGAGACAAGCATGGGATACTTGGGGCATATTTTCTTTGGAATCAATACAGGGAGACAAGCATGAGACACTGGGGATTTATTCTGAATCCCAACAAGGAGACAAGCATGGGATACCGGGAACCTATTCTGAATCCCAACAGGGAAACAAGCATGGGATACTTGGGGCATATTTTCTTTGGAATCAACATAGGGAGGCAAGCATTGGGTAGTGGGGACTTATTCTGAATCCCAACAGGGAGACAAGCATGGGATACTTGGGGCATATTTTCTTTGGAATCAACATAGGGAGGCAAGCATTGGGTAGTGGGGACTTATTCTGAATCCCAACAGGGAGACAAGCATGGTGTACTGGGCACTTATTTAGTTTGGAGTCATAACATGGATACAAGCATTGGATACAGATGTCCTTTATATTCTATACCCGAATCCCCACAAGCATGGGGAATTTACTGGGCACATATTCTGTCTGAAATTCCTACAACGATACAAGTCATGGGCAAAGGAGACCTACATATTCTGACCCAGAATTCCCAAAGGGAGACAAGAATTGGTTACAGGGGACCTACATATTCTGACCCAGAATCCCCAAAGGGAGACAAGAATTGGTTACAGAGGGACCTACATATTCTGAAACAGGTGCTCTCAATGCACACACAAATCTCAACACAAACCCTCCATGTATTTAATCCCACCTGGGCATCTGTTACAGGTGTGTGACCACCTGTTCCTTCAAGCTGGATTAAGGACACTTCGGACTGGGACTATTTCACATTGAAAAGTTGAAAACAGATTCTTTATGGATTGTTGAAGTGGAGTGTAGCCACCTGCTTCCTGCAGCTGGGGCCCCACCATGGTGAGTACACATCATACACTCAGGTGAAGCTGGCCTTACCAGAAGTTCACCCACACTTATTGCTTGTTTGTTTGTTTGTTTGTTTATTGTTTAAAGCCACACTAGTCCTGTAACTTTGGGTCACTTGTCAACGACTGAATCTGAACCAAACAAAGCAGTAATTGATATTATGAGCAATGTGAAAGACTTGTGTGAACAAGAATATAAATTTCCTATTGGCAAAGCTTGTCATTGTAACCATCATGTGTACAGCAAATTGATGTTCACATTGCTTTACAGGCGTTAAAAATCTCTTTTAATATCCTTCAACTTAATAAATGAAAAAGATGAAGGTAAATGTTATACTCAAGTTGGTTCAAACATTAATGATTAATCAATAAACGAAAACAATTACAAAATAATGCAAGTTACTGAAGAAGCAATACATTTCTTCTCTAAAATTGAAATCTACAAAGAAAAAGCTATTCAAACATATTATCCCCTGCCTTCACAATTTACAACACTCATATGACATATGTCGTCTGAAAACATAACTCCCTGAAGGAATCATTGAACGGAACAATTTCAGGCCCAGGATTATCTAATGAAAAAATATTATCCGTCAATGTAGAATTATATAGAAAGATGACAAGCCCGAGGCCGAACAGCATGCGCTGACAACCGGTACACTGTGTGACGAGGTGCCCCAGTTGAACGACCAGCACCATTTTCAGCTCAGTATGAAAAACATCCAGGAGGCACAATCAGCTCCCCCAAGGTATTCCCCACACGCTGATCTGAATCCCTGGTGATTACGCTGACTGTTACAGGGGTAAGCTGTTGTACAGACCCCCATCTGATGCTATCTCCTCTGATGAGGCCTCCACATCTCACTCCAGCTGTCCACGGAATTGCCCAATAATGAGCCGTTTCAAGTGGGTTATATCACTGCAGTGGTAACTGATTTATCAGTGTTGATGACATACAGAATATGGCATAATTAAGATAGCTATGTTGGCCATTGCTGATTGAATGAATGGTGTTTGATTGCTTGTGGTAGGGTTTCAGATCGGTTCATTTTCTAGGGGGAGGCGGTCAAAACGGCCTTGAAAGGTAAAAGGCGAAACGGCCACAGAATCAATGGCCCTGTAAAGAACACATCCTGCTCACATTGAATATTCATTTATTATTATCATGGACATTATTACTATTTTTATGGCTGTTTTGACTTTTGAGTCTTGATGCCGTTCTGACATTAGGGTTTGTACTACAACCCTTTTCTGGGACACTGACTGATTGTCCTTCTTTTATTAAAAGTTGGTAAACCATGAAAACGTCCTCCTGCCATTTTAAGGTTCATACAAATATGAAACATTAAATTTCAGGGCTTTTACAAGGCTTTCAACCTTCATGTTCAAAGTTTTTTTACTTGGGTTATTAGGTTTAGTCTGTCAATATTTTATTCAATCCAGCATACAATATGTTAGTTGTAAGACCTAAAAAGGAGTATGAACATCACTAATTTTCCAACAAGATTTAACCAACAAAAAAATATATTAAATCTGTCTAACTTCGTTGGCCCACAAATCTAACACTGTGATAAATTACACTTCAGCATCCTTGGAGCATATTTTTGTGGGTTTTTTTAACACTTCTATTAACAAATATACGTCATTCAATGATTTTCAAGCTATTTGGTGGTAATCATGGTTTTTCAAGGCTGACACTAAAAGTAAGGGCTTTTCAAAATAGACTGAAAAATTCAAGGCCTTTTGAAGCCTGAATGTATGCTGCATTTGTGTCAAGCACAATCTCTGTCTGCTCTTATCAGTCTCCCTTCATGAGACAACTGGTAATAGTCTACTACTCTGTGAGTGAGTGAGTGAGTGAGTGAAACATGTCCGAGACATGTCCTGGACACCTATGGAATATTAAAACAATCAATCGACCGCCTCTGTGGTCTAATGGTAGAGCATCTGCCCGGAGAGCAGAAGGTCCGGGGTTCAATTCCCGGGTGCGTCATACCAAAAGACGTTTAAAGATGGTACTTCTTGTTAACCTGTCTGGCGCTCGGCATTAAGGGGCTAATAACTCGGAGTGAGTTTTCTGTGTTTGAGTGGGGTATTCATGTTAAACTGCGGCATGGTATCTCAGTGAGGTAGCACTATAAATCGGCATCAGTCCGGACTCGTACAAGCAGCCACACACATACATACACATGCATGCACATCGCTCAATCTCATTAAAATCAGATCTTAGTTCTCGCTACCGCTAAACAAAGATCTGAGGACATCCCATTACGGGTCACGTCAGACCGACCTTTCACGAACTTTGACCGACCAATGGAATGACCAATCAGAAGGCAGCTTTCTCGTGTTAAAGTTTTCGAGATGCATGATCAGAAATCACATTCCGACTATCACTTTCATGATCTGGTAAGCGACGCTCTGATTGGTCAGATGAAAGGTCGTTCTGACGTTACCTCTACTAAGATGTCCTCAGATCTTTGTTTAGCGGTAGCGAGAACTAAGGTCTGATTTAAATGAGATTGGCACATCGCTATATAAGTGTAATAATCTTGGACGCGACGTTAAACCCCATTTCACCACCAAAACAATCAATCAAAATGATTCATGCAGTAAATTGAATCATTATGCAATGAAAGATTATGGTGTTATCTACATGCACTGTAATGACGGATCATTTATTTTACCACAAAACTATAAAACATTGTCAGCCGCAACGCATAAATGAAGCTGACAATATATACAACCAACAGACAACTCCACCAACTACTGCCACTGAATACAAGAGGCCATATTTTCAGATCACTACGTCTCTGATCAATCTCGATAATTACACTCTGATTAAATCTAACCAGACATGAGGAATCACTCTCTCTTCTGTTGATTCCCTTCAAGTGGTGTTAAACTCAACTTTGATCAAATTGCTTTGGCTGGAAGTATTTGACAGCAACAATCTACTTATCTCAGTTTAAGCTGACAAACATGCTATCTTTCTTCTCCATATCAGTCAATGAGGGATGACAGACTAGAAGGTGTTATTCAATTATACCCCTAGACAAAACATCAAGTAGAAATGGATGTTTGTTTCAGGACAATTAGATTATTTGCTGTTAGCACTGCGAACTATTCAATTTTAAAATACAACAGATATTTTTATTTATGTATTCATTTCTAACTGACACATTTTCACTTTAATACAGAGACCGAGTGAGTGAGTGAGTGAGTGAGTGAGTGAGTGAGTGAGTGAGTGAGTGAGTGAGTGAGTGAGTGAGTGAGTGAGTGAGTGGGTGGGTGGGTGGGTGGGTGGGTGAGTGAGTGAGTGAGTGAGTGAGTGAGTGAGTGAGTGAGTGAGTGAGCAAGCGAGTATGGTTTTATGCTGCTTTTAGCAATATTCCAGCAATATCACGGCGGGGGACACCAGAAATGGGCTTCACACATTGTAAACATGTCGGGCATCGAACCTGGACCTTCGGCATGACACGCAAACACTTTAACCACTAGGCTACCTGACCGCCCCTAATACAGAGACCGAGATCATTGAGCTAATGACATGTTTTGTAACTGTTCCAAATGAATAGTTCTTTATTGACCACCCTCTCCCCTGCTTCTTCTGCATCTTCGCATCACGAGATTTGTCCGACTGGGAATTTTTTTTACCATAGCCTTGGTAAAACGTATTTTGATACATGTATTAAACAATCTGGCCATGCATACACTGAAGTTGACTTAAGTTATATCTTTATTCAACCATATGAAAAGTCAGAAGGAATAGGTGCCAAGTCAGAAAGAAATGACATTAGTGACTTGTAGTGTAACCATAGAGTTCCAGATATTTTTTGTCATTAAACAATATATCACGTGACTAACCATGGGTCCGGGTAGTCCTGTGGGTACCCGGGTCCTACTCAGTACCCACCTGACCCAGGTACCAGAGTTACCTGTCCCAGCCCTATTGTAGATTTATCATTTAACTTAAGCATTTATCCATGACATAAGCTTATGACATAAAAACATGTATGTCATACCCCAATGACATAAGTATGCAAATTAGATATGCAAATTAGATAACCGGAAGAGCGAGCGGTTTGATTTGAAACTATATATTATAAGTGAAGTTACACCAGAGATATAATCAGACTACACAGAATCGTTGTTGTTACCGTTATTAAAGTTTCAATTATTCTGCAAAAGTCTGTTCAAGTATTTTGTTTAAAATAATCCGAGGAACTTTTTTTCTTAGCGAATTGTTTATTTTGGTTTACATGGATATGGAAAACATGTATCACTACGCACGATCTATACGTAAGATTTCGACAAGTTGCTGATGTTAATGTTTAATGCAATTATTCCTTAATTTGGAAGCAAAAATGTGAAAATGATAAATAGAATTCATCACTCGTGTTTTTTAATATGGGAAATATCAACCTCGTCCCGTTAATCGGTATTTGACTCACCAAACTTTTTACCAGGTATTAAGGTATCTTAGCCTCTAATGAAAATAAGATAAGATGTCAGATAACAGGTTTAATTAAAAAAACACATCTTATAACGATGCAGTCTCAGAGACAAGCATATGCCGAATGTACACTTAATTTAAAAAAACTTATTATTTCACAATTTAACGAAACGATATAGAAAAATCCATCTTTTAGATTATTTTCTTCTGTTTTATGTCCTCCTGTATCAGGAAGAGTTATTGAATTTCTAGCATCATACACTATCACCTTACACCTTATACAGAGTGGGAAAATTTATTGGTCAAATTAAGAGCGGTTTTATTGGCTAGCATACACTCTTGTGGCGACAATACAACAGACATGACCACTGATGATATATACAAAACTAATAAAGAAATACTTCAGCGATATGGCTTCGATGTAATGCAGTAGATGATCACAGGAAAAATATATCAACCACTGGCGATGTTAAAACATCAAAGCCAGACTGGCGATGTTAAAACATCAAACTCAGAGGGTAATTTACACTCAGATTGGA